GTCCTTTGCATCTTCAGACATAAACTTTTTGGTTTTTTTTTTTGTGGGATCTCAGCTTATTCCACTGCAAAAAGAGCCACAACCCCTCTCTGTATCTCGTAGCAATCACGAGAACTGGGGGGAATCCAATATGGCAGATGGAAGCCCCAGGACCGATACTTCAACAGATGACACGGAAGATAAAAATCAGAGGGTAACATCTCCTGCTTCCACTTTTGCTACTTATTTTTTCATTCCTGTATCCAAGATTCAAAGTGGTATCCCTCATTTTGCCATACAAAATTATTTTGCATCTGAGAATATTCATTCTTTATTTGATTTTGGCTGCTTCTTTTGAGGTGAATTTAAATTCGGTGTTCGTGTGCAGATTGAAGGGAATCAAATCACTGGTCTTCTAGCTTCTGATTCCAGTGACAGGTCAAAAGAAAAACCTGGGGATCAAAAGGTTTGGTAACTTCAATTAAATATACTATTAAATAGTCATCTTGCATGATTATTGGATACCTTTTACCGTGCAATCAATCTCTGCAGACATTGCGAAGACTTGCTCAAAATCGTGAAGCTGCCAGGAAAAGTAGATTACGGAAAAAAGTAGGTTACTATTTAAGTATTTATTATTAGTATAATAGTTTCCCCTTTATTCGTTGTTAGTGTTCCCCGTCTAGTAAGAGTCATGCTTACTGTTCTGTGTGGAGAAGTAATGTTATGTTTCTTCTTTCAGGCATATGTACAACAACTTGAGAGTAGTCGGCTGAAATTAACCCAGCTTGAGCAAGAGCTTCAGCGAGCCCGCCAGCAGGTTGGATTTTGTTGTCCCTGAATATACGTACATATATCATATATCATATATTTTTCATTCCTGGAAGGGCATGGATGTTGTATCATATTAGTGGTTTTATTTTGGCAGGGAATATTCATTTCAAGCTCCGGAGACCAATCCCACTCAATGAGTGGAAATGGTATTTGAACCTCTTAATTTCATGTTCCGATTGGTTAATATTTCCTGGACTTGAAAATGATCACAGAAGTGTAATTCCTGCTGCATTGACATGCATATTTATGTTATAGAAATTTGGTAAAGATGGGGTTAGGTGTTCTCTGCATTAGATTTGTGTAGTAAGTCGATTATTTTGGGTGGAGACTTCTACAGCTTCTCTTTCCTGGATTGTTCTGTAATTTTGGCATCCTCAGTCTTCTGCAATTGGGTCCGAGCATGCCCTGAATTTTTACATAGTGGATCTGTTTTTCATATTAATAATGGTGTTGTTGCTGACACGTTGCATTACATTATTTCTTGTGTTGTGTGATAAAAAGGCAATATTCTATTCCCAGACAGTTTGGAAACATAAAATTCGTATGCTGTTAGATTAAGAATCTGGACCACACATTTAGGCAAGAATTAACCTTATCAGTGATTCTGGCAACATGGCATTATGTTGCTGAACTGTTAACGTTTTCCCACTTAACTGATATTTGATGGTAAAATATTCTTGTTTTATTTGTATTTTTATTTCATAGGTGCTTTGGCATTTGATGTGGAATATGCAAGGTGGCTAGAGGAGCACAATAGGCAAATAAATGAGTTGAGGGCTGCCGTTAATTCACATGCAGGCGACACTGAACTCCGTACCGTTATTGACAATGTCATTGCGCACTACGATGACATTTTTAGAATAAAAGGAACTGCTGCAAAAGCTGATGTTTTCCACATCTTGTCAGGAATGTGGAAAACACCAGCTGAAAGGTGTTTCATGTGGATTGGTGGCTTCCGCTCATCTGAGCTCCTTAAGGTGAAAATTTGTGCTCCCTACTCTTGATACAGTTGGAATCCCCCTTAAGTTTGTGTTAAATTGCAACCACATACATCATCTGCTAAACATTACAATCTCGTACATAAACTTACGATTTCATTGCAATTTCATACATTTGTTAGCAATTCTGTTAAGTTGACTGTTAAAGTGATGATGTGGGATAAGGAATCAATTAAAAATAGTCAAGATGAAAATCAATTTAGAAATTAAAAGTAACATCTTTTTGTGCAAAAAATCAGAAAAGTACATGTGGACCCCACCCCTTCCATCTTACCATTCTACCAAGCTAACCCCTGCGTCCTCTCCCTCCAAACCCCGTGCCTCCACCTACCATACTGGATCCTTCCTTCAAACCCTAATTCACAACCTACAATGCAATGAAATTGTAAGTTTGTGCATGAGATTGTAATGTTTTGAAAATGATGTATGATGTTGCAATTGAACACAAAATTGAGGGGGCAAACTGTAATTTACCACAAAAAAATTATACCATTTTAGTTTCTGCACAATTCCATCTCCTAGTGTATAATATGTTATTTTGACATTTCGTTCCCTATGTTTTCTCCCAATGTGTAAAATCTATTGTCATGAAACTATTGTTTATGACATTTTGAGTTGGGGCTATCATCCTGACTGACATCATGGTTTGACATGGTGGAAGTGTTGGATATATGGCTTCAATCCTACGGCTTCTAGTTTATGAATTGCCCACACCAAACATGGCTGTGGCTGTGTCATATAGGTTCACGAACCATATCCATGGAAACGAGTATTTCTATGGTTAGCAATGGAAATTTGTAGTGCCCGTCTTTGAACTTAATTTGTCAGCAAAATTGATGTTTTTTTTTTCTCCTTAAAAAGAGTAATTAGTGAGCTGCCCAAAATTCTTTTCAAATGTTCTCTAATTGTTTTAGTTCTCTGCGTCCCGTTGATCTGTTTTGACATTGGTGCAGCTTCTGGTGAATCAATTGGAACCATTAACGGAGCAGCAATTGGTGGGTATTTACAACCTGCAGCAATCATCCCAGCAGGCTGAAGATGCTTTGTCACAAGGGATGGAGGCATTGCAGCAGTCCCTGGCTGAGACCTTGGCCAGTGGCTCACCTGCGCCATCAGGGTCATCGGGGAATGTTGCAAACTATATGGGTCAAATGGCCATGGCCATGGGAAAGCTAGGAACTCTTGAAGGTTTCCTCCACCAGGTGAACTCCCTTAATAGTTAATTCCACTAGCTTGCTTTTCCACTGAATCATGAAAAGGCTGGTATCACTGAGTGACGCATCTGGCAAAGTGACTGCGCTTCGGTGTTGGAACCTGTAGTTTGAATGGAACCAAATTGTTTCTAGTACATACATGTCTTTGTTCTTCATTTAGTTTTGTCGGCCCTAAATTTCACCCATACAATATATAGTCCTTATTTATTGTTTTCAAATGCTAAATGGACTGTCGTCTTTTGAGACGTAAACCTCGGGGTTATCTTTTTAAACGCAGTTATACCATCTTTTTTTGTACAAGAAGTTTGTTGCATGGAAGACATGTTTAACAAGAATTATAAACGAACTTGGTGATTTGGCTATAGATGGATTGCAATGTCCATCTCAAAGTACTTTTCATAGTCTTGCCTAAAACATTTGAAACGTTACTTGTTATTTTTGTTTCTTTATGTATGTAATTAATACCTTAATTGCCAGTAGTCAATATACCTATGCCTTACTTTTTCATTCTCATTTTGTCAATTGCCAGGCTGATAATCTTCGACAACAAACGTTACAACAAATGCATCGTATACTGACTACTCGACAATCAGCTCGTGCGCTTCTTGCAATACATGATTATTTTTCACGTCTTCGAGCCCTCAGTTCTCTTTGGCTTGCCAGGCCTAGGGAGTGACGTGCATTAGATTACTCTCCCTGAAGTTCATCCTTAAAGCTAGCTAGTCCCGGAACATAAATTAGCACCATGAAGCCGAGGGCCATACTATATAGATGATGGACTTCAGCTATTTGGACATCAATATCCTTCAAGGACGTGATTAAGGTGCGTGAAGTCAGATTAACGTTCATAGTCACCATCAAAGTTGTAGGTTGTTGTCACGTATGTTTGCGCAGATGTTGTATTCTATGGTCAGAACTGTAGTATGAATAATCTGATGATGTTAGCGATGTAATAGAAGCGAGGGAATAGAATAGTGCTATTGTCGTAGGTTACAGATGTCGATTTATACACCAAAAGTCAGATGATATCGGAGTGAAAAAGGTTTGCATTTTGTTTTTCTTTGACATGTACATATGATGTCTCTCAATGTTATTGGCCTATATTGTTGCACTGGTTTTACCATTCTGGATTGTGTGATATTCACTGGAACAGATTCGGTCATGAGAGGGAATTCGCCCAAATTTACTGTTCTTGGCAGTTGGAGATATGTGATGAATTGCGGCCTTCAGTGCCTGTTTTTCGTGTGCTTGTAAAAATCGAGTTTTGAAGTAAGGGAGCGATTTTTGCACACCCTTTTTCGACTTCTACACTCGCCTTAATTGAGCGAGGAGTTTCAAGTCCCTAGAGATTTAAAGCCGTATAGTTATTTTCTAATTCCCAAGGGAGTTGGACTTGGAACATAGTAGCAGCGGCGGCGATGATAAAGCAACGTTTGCCAATCAGTTCAACGGTGGATAAGGCAACACTCGCCTTACTTTTGACACGGCAAAGATGCTCCTTACCCTAAGCTGTGCCCCGACGGTGGAAATGTGTGCTTTGTCATCGGTTCCGACTGACTGGCAACTTTACGTAAGGCAGAGTTTGGTTTTTTGGGAGTGATAATGGATCTCTGAATGGAGTGGCCCGGGAATTCACTGATGAGAAAGCAGATTTTGGAGAGATTAAACGAATCCCGAAGATACAGACCATCGGTGAGTTGTTCAGTAAATAAACCCCCACAAATCACTTGAGTTTGTTCCGTAAAGCAGACAGTCGGGTGGTGACCACTGAACCCACTCAAAAACAGCGAGCGAGCGGTGTTCGAGGAGGCCGAGAAGTGCCATCTCCTTCGACATCCAAAGTCGTACCAAGAGCGCCAAACTGCGAGAGCTATCCACGATCCATATTCTACAACTGCGGCTAATTACGCATGTTGACGCTCCTGCTGCAGCGTCATATGGAAATCCATGCTGGTTACGGAAATTATATCACGTATACGAGGAAATCGAAATTATGCATTTAATTGTAGCAGTTAAAATACATAGATCGACGAAACTCCCTGTCGATATATATGCTTATGGTGCTCCTGGCTACGGGGGTACTTGTTTTGACTCCAATTACGAATTAGTGAACACGCCAAGCTAGCCAGCATATCCAGTCCCATGCATCATGACTGAGACTTCCAACAGATGGAAAGACCAAATTTCACCTCATCAGTAGCCAGTTACAACCGTATTAACAGTGAACCTGACGATCTGCCCGCCCTCCCCCAAAACAAAACAAAAAAACACGACTAATTCAGAGTACAGCCGCAGACAGAGGACCAATTCAAAACTCTCTAACAAGTAATATTTTCACAAACCAGGAACTCCACACACGAAAACAGAAAAGATGCTAGAAATCATTGTTCATTTCCGGTCCCCAAAATGCACTGCGAAAGATGAGTCAAATATGGTTCTGCTTTGGAACTGCTGTTCAATATCGGTCCCAGGCTCTGAAGCTCTGCATTGAACTCCCTCTCGAATTTCCTGCAAAATACTGGGTCAGAGAGAGAGACAGAGAGAGAGGTGTGCACGTGTGTAATCATTTATTCCACAGCCACTTCAAACTTACAGAATAGAGTCAGCAACAGTTTTGTTGCTGGAGCTTAATTTTAGTGCCCGAGATGGGGTCCGCAATTTTGATGGTTTTGGGTTTTCTGGCACAAGTGAACCATCAAAATCGACAAGGCTAGGAACATCAATGGAAGATGATATTAACCACTGAGTTGCTGCAGCATATTGTAAGCAAAGCAATTTCAGCCTCTCCACCTTCTGCATTCATACAACTCAGTATTAACTATTAAGGTAAAGAACAAAGACAAATCAAGAATTCCGAAACTCTAGTTCTGGACATATGATTCCAAAGAGATATGATCCCCATCTCAACATGTCTTGATACCCTCTTGTGGGTTTTTGCATATCCTAGTTTTGAATTTTGGACCTTTGGTTCCAAATTATCCTTGGTGGAGATAAAAGACAGATCTGTGCTTGGATTCACGGTAACTACAGTACTGAGAAACCTGAAGCATTGGCAAAGCTTTGAAATTTGGTCAGTGTTCAAAATTATTTGAAAGTAAAGTTAAAAGTGGGCCCAGCCCTCGGGCATTTTCCAGCTGGTCCAAGGCTCCCTCGCCTAGTTCTGAAATGTACAAAAACTAGTTGTGGAAAGAAATCAAAGAAATTTGTGGATTTCTTTGATTAGGAGTTCTCTACGTCGCATGATCAGTTTATAGGTCTCATGAATAGAATCTTATAGCAGTTTATTAATTTGGTTCTTTTCACTAAAACGTGTACCAATGAGTCTATGAAAGAAGCTACTTTATACGCTTTGAAAATTTAACACTACAAGAAATTAAGTTCTTATGCTCATGCATGATGCATGAGTTGACTTGCAAAGTCCAAGACATTTGATGTCGAAGGCTCCTGATGCCTAAAAATTTCATTATCTTAGTAAGGCCCTACATTAAACATGGAGGCTACGATCAACTTTGCGCAAACAATCTCCACTATATTTATCTCCTTGGCCTCAAACATATCCGACCTGTTGCATTTCCTTCCATGTCCCTGTTACCTTATTAGAGCTTTCCTCTCTTCCAGTTGAAGAGATTCTTTTCCAACCTTTTCTATATATATATATATATATATATGCGTGCACATACACATATATCCTTGTTTCTACTAATGCATGTAAGCTTGAATGTATTAAGAACAAACCTTGAGAAATTCAGGCAAAAGAAGCAAGCACCCCCTCAAACACTTGTCAAGGAAAAAGTCATGGTGTTGGATAACCTGTAACAGGAAGAACCTTGTAAGACAAATACGAGCTTCCTCTTAATAAACAGTACTGCTACATCTATCAGAATGACCTAAACCGAATTCTCCTTTTTCAGCCAAAAGATTTCTTTTTTTTTTTTTTTGTTTTTTTTGTTTTTTAAAGTAGACGAGAGTTTCTATAAGAGGAAGAACAGACCTCATCTATGCTCTTTGCAGTCTGAAGTCTTTTATGCATCACATGGCAATTGGGCTCAATAACCTGTAAACAAGAAGATCTGCTCTGAGAAAACATAAACCTAATAATTTCCTCATCATTGCTGGGAAAATATATTTCAGAAGTGTCTGATAGAAAAATGCAACGTGATTTACAGATGTACATTGCAGTCTTAAGTCTACTATGCATCTATGCTCTTTGCAGTCTGATGTCTATATGCAGATGCACATCATCTCTCAGATAGAAGAAAACATTATATAGAATGCAATGTGATTTGCAAAGCAAGGATAGGCAACAAGGATCACACATTAAATGAGGAAAAAAGAAGTATGAAATGTATATCTAAGCCCACGCTACATACAATGCTTCATTGTATCGGTAATAGCCAAAAACAAAAAGAATACCATTAAAATCAAAACTGATGGAGAAAAAACAAGGTGCTTAAATATAGGGAAAAAGCACCACAAAACATCTATAGCATGGAAAAATCTTCCACGGAAAAAGCAAATTGGAAGATAAAACCTGCCTCAAATGTTAGATAGTGTAGAAGGCTATTAATAAATTTAAGCATGCTACGACACAGCAGTGATGATCTGGAGATAGCAGTTCCACGCATGTTAAGGGCACGAACTCCCTGCAATACATATTTCCACTGAATCAAGCAAAGAAAAGAGGCTAAATGACCTGGCTACAAGTAAATCAAATCAAGCCCATACTTGATGTGCTTGCCATGCCCCACAAAGCTGGCGATCCACATGCTTACAGTGGAAAAGAAAGCGGAAAATTAACTGGTACTTTGTTAGGGAATTTTTGGAGATAACAATAGACAACGGCCACCGAATCTGAAAAAGAACCAAGCAGTCATAACAAACCAAAGACAAATGGTTTGACCATAGAGCAGGATGAGATCTAAATGGCATTGTATGAAAACTTTCAAGATCTAGATCCATTTAAACTCTGGTATAATTAGCATACTTCGGGGGTCACTTCAAACTGTTTTTGTGATTTTTTTGGGGATGGGGCTGAGTAAAGATATAAATGACTAAATAAAATAAAAACAAGTCATTAACAAACCTTATAATTTAAAGAGAATGTCTCAAGGCCAGTTATGCTCACTGGCTCCTCCAGATCATTATCATCAGGGACAGGCCTGCTCTTTTCACGATCTTTAAGTGTCCCCAGCTTTTTAAGCAAAGAAGATGTTTCCTGAAGCAAAACAACAAGAATATTGAATTAATGGGAAATCAATACATAAATTTGTCATATATGAGTAAAAGGATAGAGCTGTTTACCACGCAACATGTTAAGTCCTCATGGCAAGGATCTGCTGCAGCTGCTGTGGTGCGCAAAGCAAGGTCTAGAAGAGACTATTTAGCCAACAAAAGTTAAAACATCTCAATCATTTTGAATTGAGAAATCAGAAAGAAAAATTTGCCAGCTAAGGAACTTGATGAAGAAAGAAGACTAAACCTGCAGCTTCTCCACAGAAATCTCATCAAGCTTTTTTGTGAGCTCGTCTCGAGCGATATCCATAAAATGAACTAAAAAATCACCCTGTATAAACACCATCAGTTCTCCATCAACTTGATTTTGAATAGCATGATTTTTGTAATAAACTTAACAAAAAGAAAGCTTATTTCCATGTAAAGTCGATTCATCTTTCCTTAATCAGATCCACAGCATAGTGCAATTATTCAACAAACACCAAGTCCTTGATGCATCAAAATTAAGATTGCATAAATACAATCCTTTTCTTCATTCTCCAAAAAACTATGTTTACCTCACGAAAACTATATAAATAAATATGGCAATTCTTCTTGTAATTGAAATTAAAAAAGTTAACCATGGATGATATAAACCATGGACATCGCATGTTCTATGCACCTTCTTTTAAGGAGTTTTTCCTTTTTCATGTAATAGCAGTATGCGGAATTCTTGAATTTTGGGACCTATACAAATTGAAACATATCCCTGCAATGATTTGAGTTCCTATTTCGAAAAGGAGAATTTCGGAGTTTATCAAATACTCACTTTTATATCTTCCCTATATGAAATTTCAAAATACAAAGTAAACCAAATTCTTAAATATGCATGTAAAAGCTTGCAGAAGAGATATTATTACAAACACCTCATCAAAAAGTCCTCTATTTTTAGTGTCTTACAGACAGTCATCTATTTTCATCCTTTGAGCCATCTATCTTCACTTTTATATTCAGTGTTTAATAACACACATAAATGTTGGAAAATCCCCAGGTACTTCAAGAGTTACAAGACCTAAACCTGAAGATCAAGCTTGCTCCTTCGTAGGGTTTAAAAAAATTAATGCCAGCTAATATACATTTAGATTTACACACTTGATGAGGCAAAATGACCTAGGAAGACTTGGACAGAGACTCTAAGAAAAGACTTGGACTACTTGAATCCAACAGAAGACATGGCACAAAACCAAGTGCAATGGCGTTCTAGGATTCATATAGCCGACCCCACTTAGTGGGGTAAGGCTTTATTGTTGTTGTTGTTGTTTGTTCAAATCCCTCCACCCAAAAATCATAAGCATAATAACTTCAGACAGAAAGATGTGTGTTATTAAACACTATGTCCAAAGCATTATAAGGGATAGATGAGGTAGAAGAACCTAACCTTTACCTAGAATCCCACCTGATCTACAAGGTTCAAAACTTTTTAGTTACGATTTCATATGAAACATGGTATCTATCTACATATTAGCGTATAATATAGGTGATCTATTTCCAAGTTCATTGGTCATAAAACAATATACCTGATCAAGAAGAAGATAGTGCTTTATAGATCGCAGCTTTCCCATCAGATCATACTAAACAAGAAAGGATGGAAGATTAGCCAACAACATAAACAAATTGCATTAAAGGTGGCAGCAAAGACCAGGGAGAGCCAAAGAATATTCAGGGGAAAACCATTTCCTACAAACTAAACCTCACCTTTTCTTTGATGAGATTTAAGAGCTCACTGCTGGCAAAGTCATATGCAGACTTTATACACTCAAGATAACGGTGATTAGAGCCAAAGGTCATCAATTTCGAATTTTCTGATAGAGGGACCTATTTATCCAATAAAGTCAATGACATGTATTAACAAAAACACATTGAGGGAAAGAATTTTCCTCATTTCTTGTGTTCTAAAAGAGAAATAAAACATTGTAAATGGATAATTATAACCCGAACCTGAACATGATGTCCACATTCCCTCATGACATTTAAATATTTTCCTGTGGTCAAAATTGTCCCAGAAATATTTGCTAGGAAGCTAGGAATTCCGTCCTTAAGGCTGTAACGTTGCCTCCAATACTTGGCATCATAATCTTGAGTGAGGCTTTCCTGTACAGTTTAACAAACTGTAACGTAATAAGCCTAAATTTGTTGCACTCAAAATTTTGAAATCAGATGACATACCTTTTGAAGAGATTTGTTTTCAGCAATGAAAAATTCACCATAAGGATCATCAATGACTCCTTCATAAACCCACCTAAAAGTAAATTTCATTCCCATGCCCAGGGATCAACCAAATTAGCACTAAAGTGTTGTGCAAATGATACTCAAAGCCATTACTGCCCAAAAGAAAAGAAACAAAACAACCTAATCTCTCTTTCCATATTCAAATAGACTTAAATAAGAAATTCATGTCAAAACTATTTAAGGAATGAATATATAGAAACAAGGGATATAATACTACTCCAAGAAAATGGGCATGAATACACAAACGCTTTTGTATACATGAATTATAACCTAGAGAAGGCAGCACAACAAATAGCGGGTTAAGCAGGGTTGTAAGGCACCCGACATATAATCTTTAAAATGGCCAGTACCCTTGGGTCGGTCTAAAATATGTCCTAATTTCTAATCCCTCTCAAGACACCCAAGTGTCAATTATGTCCCCCACGGGTGATCTTGGGTCTACAACACATCTTAGTCCAACACAATTTCCTAAATACGGCAGTTGGCTGGGCTCATAAATTTTTTTTGACACTAAAACCAGCTCCTCCACCCACACCCCAACCCCCAACACCAACACCCCCCCCCCCCTCCCCAACACCCCACAAGATAAACAAAGTAAAACAAAGATAGTCAAGGAGCAAAAGAACATTTTATAGCGTTTTACAAGAAAATGGAAGAACTTAGTTGATGGGAAGAATAGTCTCTGAAGCATATTATGCTTATGTAACGAGTCAGTCATGTTAACAAGAGATGTATAACAAGTTGGCAGGCAAAGTTTCACGCACAAGTATAATTACCTCTCCAATATTCCAAGGTATGCATTGCAAGCACATTCTGTCATCTTTTCTAGTAATGACCTTACACCACTATCACCAGCCATGGCCTTGGCCTATTTATTGCAAAGACCCACAGTATGCACCAATAGCAGCAAGATAAGAATGAGAAACAAGTGGTGGAAACAGTTATTACTTCTAAAGGGAGCAACAAAATTTTATGTAACTCAGACATAAGAGTACCTGACTCTGCAAGAGGTTAAGAACTGCAGAACCTGCAAAATTATTAGCAGAAGCCCTCTGTATTACATTGGATAGTGCTTGCATGGACCCCATCATTGGCTGCAACACAGATTAGAGAACTCGGTCAGACTCGAAAGGAAAAAAATCCCTAAATATAGTTTAAAAAAAATATCTCAGAGAAGCTTAAACCTGACAGTAAAACCACAAGCCTTGTAGGGACAGTCTTCCCAGTCGAAACTGGTGTTCTAGCTGTGCCACCATGGCCTGGTAATCCTAATACAGAAAAATTGGAAGGTGTTCAGTGGACAAGATCACTTATGCATCATTTTCTTTATACATATTTATTCTTTCCCTTGACCATGAGCTTTAGGTCAAATGGCAAAGAAATGAAATGGTTATTGAGTCAACTTAAAATAGTGAGGGGAAATAACCCTACTAGAAGGAGCGCCCTCAGCGCAGCAGCAAACGCATGATTGACTAAGCCATTCTTGAATTGGGATCTTGATTCAACAAACTGGTTAATAAGCATAAAGTTCTCACACAGAGGGAATACCCGTTTGGCTAATTCCTGAAGCATTTCAGTACCCAAAGAAAAATGAGAAATATTAAAAGGCCTGACTATAAAACAACAAAGAGTTTCAACTGATTCGTACCTGAAGAGCTAAATCCATGGATGCATCAACTTGAAAGGTGTACTTGTCCTCATTTCCATGCGCCCTCTTGATTGAAACGTAGCGTCCTTGGATCCCAACCATTGCAGACAAAATGTCATCGATGACAACAAGTTCCTATTTGTGCTAAAACCATCATAAGCACCACTTCCACTAACCCGAAATTTTGAAATTTTGAAATTCCAAATTCAAATTCAAACTCACCTGAACAGCAGCATTGTAACAACCAATGGCCTTTTCGAATCCCAAGCTGCAAATTTCAAAATTGGGGTTTTCCTTATCAATTAAAAACGACAGAAAGAAGAAATGTATGAACACAAATGTAAATGGATGAGGATGTGATATCATGCTTACGAAAGAGAACCAACGGAATAGCCATCCGTATCTGCAAATCGCGACGTCGATTTGGTTTCCTGAAACAGAAAATGTCAAATTCCAAGCGGCATTTCGATTCGCAAACTTCACAGAGGAAAATTGAAGTGGAGTGAAGAAGATTAAGGGGAAAAGTAGGAACCTGGTGAAAGCGGCCGGTGAGGAAAGGGCGCTCGGAGTTCCAACGAGGAGTTGAGGGGCATGAAATTGTTGAAGTATTATTCTCCATCGGAATTCAGAACAGCACAAGTAACCCTCTTACTCTGACTAACTATCTGAAGCCCCCTAGGGCACAAATTCGACGGCCACGATGCTTTGTTTCGTGGGAAGTCGTGAGAGAGAGGACGTTCAAATTTGAAATCCCTAGAAAATGTGGATAACCAAGATAGGTAGTCCAATTGCAGAATCTGGAGAGGAAGATGGTGGCAGGGGAGGGGACCCCTTGGGGGATGTTCGTGGGGGGGGGGGGGGGGGGAGGGGGGGGGGGGGGGGAAGAGAGAGAGAGAGAGAGAGAGCTGGTAGTGTTATGTGGGTGGGTCTTGGCTGTGGGTAGTGGTGGTAGCTTGGGTGGGCTAGGGTGGCGGGAATAAGGGGAAACGGGAGCTTCTTTATTTTATTTATTTATTTATTTAAAACAAGCAATATTAAAAAATAAATAGTGTCAGACTATATTTATATACCATCTTCAATCGAAATGGTCAAGTATAATCATATCTAGAATTATAGTACTGTAAAAAGTTATGTTTAAATGAACAGTGCCAGACTATGTTTATATACCATTTTTAACCGAAAGGGGGTGAACATAGCTTGTTAATAATTTATTATTTTTAAGTTTCTTCTTTAACTTATTGGTTAATTCAATTAAATTATCATATTAAAATAAGGTTATCCAAACATATTTTGAGTGTCACTTGTCGCTAAATGAATAAGCCTCCGAATTTTTTATCTTTATATAATCTCAATAATTTTTTTGGCTAAGATTTCGATTGATACGTGTCGTTAAATGAGTAACTCTCCATGTTTCTTATCTTTATGTAACATTATAATTGTCCGGACAGGATTTTTGAGTGACACATGTCGAGATATAATTGGTTATGCAAATTTTAGATAGAATTCTTATCTACGTGACACTTCTTAACTTCAGCATCCAATGTTAATAAATTGGTTGAATATTAGGGTATAATTCTCACACCTTCATCTTTCCCCTCTCCGATATCTCTTATTATTGTTTAAAATTTGTCATTTCAATTCAAGTTTGCAATGAATTCTAACTTTGGATCCTCTTCGCAGTCAACTGGGGTCCTCATCCAATTCCGAATTGGAAGATAAATGGGCGGAGTGGAACAAGAAGAGGAAGAGTCCGATGAAGAAGATGACCAAAATTAATAATATTGTACAACATAACCAAAATTAATATTTAATAACAAGAAATCAATTGACAAGAATATGTGGAATTAGTGAATAAATTACTATTAATGCCAAGATCAATAGTAAAAAGTTCTATTGGTTTTATAATCAAAGATGCATATATTATGTAAACAGAGGATATATCATTAATGTTTTGAGATAAACAATTATAATTTGAAGAACCATTTAAAGCATTTTGGTAATCAGCATACTTAAATTTAAATGTAATATATCATTAATGTCTTGAGTATAATTTACATCATGTATCTTTTGTAGTACATGAAGCTATGCTAAAAAAACTCTAATTAATGATTATAAGGATTTTGTTTTATATCAAATATTGCAAGAGAAGCCACAGTTTAAAGAGTTCACGCTACACAGAAAGATGATGAAATGCCACTCATTGAAGCCATCATTGCTCCTCTGGAGGCACAACTTAAGCTTGCTGCAAGATGTATACATTTGTTCTGCAATATGAGGTATAGAGTGTTCAATATGTATTTGGTTTTTATATTGTTAATGGTTCTATCGAATCATTTATTTACATGAATTAATAATTATAACGAGTTAATTTTTTTAATACTTCTGGATGTATTTTGATTTTTTAGGTAACCAAGTGTAGGACGACAACAGAGCACTTGATCGGCTTACTAAATCCAAAGAGGCTGTTTTGCTAGAGGCGGAGAAAACTATTTAGATTGCTTGGGCAAAAGCATCTTTGGTTGATGATTTGCAAAACAAAAATCAAGAGCTAATGAAACAGATTGAAAGGTTTGTATAATATTCAGAGTTTTCCTATTGCATGCAATTTGTGAGATAGAGGGAATTTACTAGGGGCACATGCTAGCGTTGGCCACTATTTTACATAATATGAAATAAAGCATGGGAATCATTTTTGTCGTACATAGGTTGTTAATATAGTTAGTATAATTTAGATGCAAACTGATGAATGTGAACAATTTATTTTCTAGGCTCTTAATCTAAATTCAATATAATATAGATGCAAAACGAAAAACTTATTTCCACCATTTGGGTTCAATTGTTTTGATCGATTTTTGAATTAATTAGAGATGGGTGTGTTGAATTTTGGTTACGGGTTCAAACCCGCAACGAAGTGCGGGCTTATTTGCTAGTAAACTCTAATTCACAAGATTGAGTTCTATTATTTCCATCCTATGTAATTTATCATGACTAAATTACTACAAGTCTAATATTAATATAAGTTCATTTGTTTTCTATAACATATTCAAAACTATGGTTTATTATAATTCACACTTTGAAAAAACCTTACATATTTCTGTAAGTCGATGCCCATTTTGGTATTGTTCTTAGAACATGATTACATGGCTAGCTTTGTTTTTAGATTATACGTTTGTAAGTGTGCGTGTGTATTAGGGTTAGATATTATTGCCTATGTAGAAGACCGCTTGTGCCTTCTGATTCAGTTAGGTTCTGTTTATAGATTTGACTAGTTGGACATATAGGGCAGAAGAAGTTAATGAGGGAATCCTCTAGCAACCGTCTCAACTAAAGATAGGGTTTTGATTTCTATTTTCCATTTATGGGTTACATAAATAAGTCTGCTTCTATTGCATGATTTTTCAGCTAGGCCATAGTTTTGTAGTGGCATCGCATGGTGATTATATTTTCTAGCTGTGTTGTCTTTGTTATAATGATATATTTATGGCGAAATTGTTTCATCAAGAGGTTTTGATTGGGTTTCTGTGTGGCCTTAACTATCTAGAAGACTACCTTGATATCAACTTATAACAGGGAATCAGTTTTGAATAGGAGATTTCCAAAGCCCGTTCTATCAAATGTGTGTTATGAGTAGCACCAAATTTCATCTACCAAATATTTTTGTTCTTGTGCTCAGTTTGAAGGCTATGTTGGGAAGATTTTTCTCCTACAGTTCTGTCGAAAAGGCTTCAAATAGCCTTGAAGGAACATCAAGTGAATGAAGCATGAGATTTCTTTATTGATTTTAAAAGGTTGCATGGCTTTCCTAAGGTTTTCATTGTTCTTAAGTTAATAACTGAACTGTGTTATTCATTTGACCCTTACTGGCTGCTAAAAGCATGTGATGTAGTCTTAGAAGTTTTGAAAGACCAATCAGACTTACTGTATTCTGATATCCTACAAAAGCTCTCCCTCTCTTTAGCTCGAAGTCAAATGTCAAAGTTTGCTACGATGATTCTTAGAATATTACTGGAGCAAGATAATTTGTCGCCCTTGAATGCATTGTGCTTATTGGTTCTGCATGTGGTAAAGACTAAGGTTGGGACATACCTTGCATCTAATTTCTTAATTTAGATTTGTCATCGTTTCCAACATTTGAGTGTAAACAAGAGTGACCATGCAAAGCATATTCAACTTGATACAATGATTTCAACCTTGTCCTTGATGCTTGAGTGAGGTTCAAATTATCTTTCAAAGGCCAACAGATTTTGGAATTGATGCATTAAATAGGAGTTGTTGCTGATGCACACTCTATTATCATTATTGCCCAGATTCAAGAGTTGAATAGTTAGAGAGACGAGATTAAAAAGTATAAAAAAATCACATTGTCAAGTTTCAGGTGTGCTTTTACAACATTATTGGCAGTTCTATGACAGTTTATTGACCTTGCATTTCAAGTTTAATGACATTGAGGCAGCCACTGAGCTAATATTACAAATGTGTGACTACCATGAGTCTTTTTCGATTCAAAGAGACAGAAACAACTCTCATAAGTCTTACAATGTTCTAATTTTATCTCACAATCTCAAGTCTAGGTTGCAGATGCAAATTTTGCTCGAGCTACTGCAGAAGGACTTTGTGCTAAAAGTAGAGGGCAAACATGAGCTTGTTATTTATTGTAATAGAAACTTGTCCTTAGCAACAAGGCTCTGGCAAACTCGTAAATGGATACAAAAAAGGTGGACATACTTGTGAGCTTTGATAGAAGCATATTTAGGCAACTTAGTTGGCTTGTTCTTGTGCATTTACGTTGTTATTTCTTAGTTCTTTAAGTCTTTTAAGTTATTTTCGTATGTTTTCAGGTTCTAAGGGCTAAAGGAGCAAAGAAGTGCATTTTGGAGCCTTTTGGAGCACTTTTGGGCTAAGGATGGATAGCTTATGCTTGGAGCCAAAGTGTTGGATGAAATTGAAGGCCTTGTATGCACTTTAGGACATACAACAAAGGGCCTAGCCCATTCTCTTCCCAAAAACCATCCTAACCCGTGCATAACCTACCAATTCCAGCACCATCCACACCTTGCCGTGGCCTCCCCTTGCATTTCCAGCTTTCCCACTTCATCATTGCAGCACATTCTCTTCCATATTCCCTCTTTAATCCACATGCATCTTTAATCATTCACTCACATGCTTTCCCAACAAATAATTCAGCCACATGCACCCAAACAATCCTTTGCCATGGCTTTCACATTCATTTCCAGCACATCCTTGGTGTGCCGTGCACTCCCATCCCATTTCCAGCTTTCCCCCTTCATAAAACAATCAGCCACACTTCCACATGCATTCCCTCTTTAATCATTCCCTCCTAACTGTCATTCACATGCTCTCCCATCCATTCTCTCCCTATAAAAACCATAGACACTTCACACCAAAGAAAGAGGCCTTTGCCGTGCATAACCTTGCATTCCAGCACTTCCCTTTCAAAGCCGTGCATGCCCCTTCCAACTCCAACCACTCCTCATCCCTCCAAAACACCACTCCAACCATTCCCCACTCCATTCCACATACAAACACCACCCCAAAACCTTTCCTTAGACCTTGTGCCACAACAAAGAGGAGGAGAAGAGGCCTAAACGTTCATACAATTCAAGTTTGAGTTGTTGGAATTTTTAGGTGTTCCCTCTCCTTGATTTCAATGGTTAAATTTACTTATCTTTGTCTTGTACGTATGAGGAACTAAACCCCCCTTGGCTAGGGGGGAATTCGAAACCATGATCATGCTTGCTATATGATTTGATTACATCTAATTGCGTTTCATAATTTGTGAATTCAATTTACTTATCTATTCGAATTAAACTGATTTGT